AGAGTGAGACTCCAACTCAAAAAAAAAAAACATAATCAAAAGAAGCCTAATATATCACAACATGTAAAATTATATACAATTCAAATGTCAGTTTCTTTAAATAAAGTTGTATTGAGATAGCCATACCCATTCATTTATTACCTATGCTACAATGAAGAGTTGGATAGTTGTGATAGGCATTCTCTGACCCACAAAGCCTAAAATGTTTATTATTCCACCCTTGACAGAAAAAGTTTGCTGACCCCTGCTGCAAATGTCCCCACAAGCCCAACACAAGCCCAAGGAAGGACTTGGACAAGGAGAATTCGTTTACCCCAACATTACTATTTTGACATCTATTTTGCTCTGAGAAAATAGCTCAGTGGCCAAGGCTGTTAAAACGAGAGTCTGTGCAGCCCTGGGTTTAAGGAGAAGTCAAGGAGAAAACACTTACATAGGATCCGTAATCCACAGCCAGGGTCTGCAGAGCCCATGGGAGGCCCAGGCCAATCAGGATGTCAAACACGTTGCTCCCAATGGAGTTGGACACAGCCATGTCCCCCATCCCTGCAGAGACAAGAGGTCGCCCATGTGAAGGAGAGGGACTCAGAAAGGGTAGGGGCCCCACTCAGGACTCTCCTGGGCCTGTGGTCTGATAGACAGAGGGGCGTTTTGCCAGCTCACCTGCTTGCTTCTCTTCCAGACCCCCCCTGGCGTAAAGAATGACGCCGATTGTAAAACACAGAGTACACATGCCCTTGAATGGCTGGCCTTCTAATATGATCACTGATTATGTGTAAGTGATTTGGAAAGCCAAACACAGTTCCAAAGACCCTAGAGGTGATGTTTTGAGCCATCCTTGTGGGAGGAATGAACTCAACAGGTCTATAACATGGCTGGTGAGAGCGCCAGCCTGAGTATCACCTCCCAGCTGCTTTGCATGTGATTTCATTTTACTTCTGAATAATTGGGATATAGGTAAACAGTGGATTTTGTGAGGGCTTCTAGAGGACACTGTGCTGTTTATTTTTTTAAGAAATAGGGTCTCGCCCAGGCTGGAGTGCTGTGGCGCCATCATGGCTCACCGCAGCCTTGATCTCCTAGGTTCATCTATCCTTCCACCTCAGCTGCTGGAACTACAGGCATGTGCCTGCTAATTTTTTTCTGATTTTTAAAAAATAGAGATGAGGTCTTGCTATGTTGCCTAGACTGATCTTAAACTCCTGGGCCCAAGTGATTCTCCTGCCTCGGCCTCTCAAAGTGCTGGGATTATAGGCGTGAGCCACTGGGCTGGTCTGTGCTAACTTTTGTTCCTACAAAAAGTGTCTGTTTGAAACAAATGCCCTCCAACAGACATCAGGCATATAAGTCAGAGTGAGTACTGGGAGGGCATAGCCATCTGGGTGTCCACTTGGGAAGGTGAACTGTGAGGTTGGTTTTGAAGGAGGGAAGGATCTGTCGAACATGGAAAACTGACCTCTGGCAACTGCCACTGGGGTGCTGCAGATCTTAGGATGGGGTCTGGGGTTTAAGCCTCAGTTGCCTTATCCACAGAATGGGGATATGATCGTCCCTACCTCATTGAGTTGTTTAAGTCAAACATGATAATGCACCTAAATGCTTTACTCAGCACAGTTTAGCTATCAGTGTATTCATCACTACTCATAGCACAAGAAGGAGGGTAACACAGCCTCCAGGATGGCAGTGGGGCTGCTTAGGAAACACCTCTGCCTTCCTTGAAGGCCAGGCCTTTGGGCCCATTTTTCTGTTGTTCTGACCCCAGGAAGCCTTTAGACCAACACAGCATTGAAGGTCACCAGCCCTCCTTCCAAGCCCAGTTAATGGCAAGGTGGATACCCCAGGTAGGGGGTCCTCCTTCCTTCCTTCTTTCCCACCAGCCCTCCAGACTGCCTTCTCTCTCTCTCCCCTCCCTCCCCCTCCCTCATCCCTCCGTCCCTGCCTCCCCTCTCCTTCTCTCTTTCCTTTTTTCTCTTTCCCTCCCTCTCTCTCCATCCCTCCATCCCTCTCTTCCTTTACCCCTTCTCCCCTCCCCCCTTCCCTCCCTCCTTCTCTCTTTCATCCTTCCTTCCTTTCCTATCCGCATCACCACTGGAAGCCCCACCTTGTCTGGCCACAATGAGGCTGGCCATGCAGTCAGGCACGCTGGTTCCTGCGGCCAGGAAAGTGATCCCCATGATGACGTCTGGAATCCCTAGAGTGTAACCGATGATCGTGACCTAGAAGAAGCAGGAAGAAGCGGTAAGCTGAGGGCTGCCCATGCTGCACTTGCCCATGGTTCCTCTGATGGGAACACAACAAAAGCTTCACTCTGGGCCCTCTCCTGGGGGCACCGTCTGCTCTCTGCATCAACACAGAGGGCACTGACCATCATGCAAAAACAGATGGACTGCAGGTCAGGATGTGGTCACAAAGCCCGTGTCTTTCATGAAACATTTGCCTTTCACTTGCTCCTTTCAGGCAAGGCAGGTAGTTTGAGAGAGGGGAATGAATTTTTGGGAAGAGACAATAATGGGACAGAATATTTGAACTCCGATGGTCCTAGGACTTCCAGAATGGAGGGCCACTTTGCCTAGAGTGAGAGCATTGTGTCAGGAGCTGTATCACAGGACTCCACGGGAACTGGACGGGGCTGGACTTCACGCCAGGCTCGTTGGCTTCTCCTTTCCTCTGTTGCTTGGTAGCAAGGTCATGATCCTTATCAACACCATCTCCTTCACCACAATCACATCCGCTTATGTCGGATGTGGGCTCTGGGTGAGGCCATGTGTGTGGCGTTCCCTTATTTAACTCTCACAATGACTCTGTGGGGTGCTGTGCTATTTCTATTCTTCAAATGAGCTCACTGAAGAATCTGCCCAAGTCACGGGATGCGAGTGAGTGCAGAGGGTGGTTCCCACAGGGACAGACAGGCTCATTGGCAGAGGTGGCACCTCTGGGAGGGCAAAAGGGGTTTCGCCAGAGGGTGGCAACAGGGAATGTTTGATATATTGCTTCCACTGTGCAAATGAGCCTGTTCCTGCCCCCAATTTCTTCATAGGAAAGCTGAGGTGCAAGCATTGGATGACTTGGACTCAGTGCAAGTGGCTCATGCCTGTAATCCCAGCACTTTGGGAGGCCAAGGTGAGCGGATCGCTTGAACCCAGGAGTTCGAGATCAGCCTGAGCAACATAGGGAGACCTCATCTCTACAAATAAACGAACTAAAAAAAGCAAGTATTGGGTGACTGGATAATGAACATGTGGCATAAATACACAATGGAATAGGACCAGTCATAAAAAAGAGTGAAATCCTGTCTTCTACAGCAACTGGAGACCACTACATTAAGTGAAACAATTCAGACCCAGAAAGTCAAGTACTGCCTGTTTTCACTTATAAGTGGGAGATAAATAATGTGCACACTTGGACATGGAGTGTGGAATGATGGGCACTGGAGACTCAGGAGGATGGGGGGGATAGTGATGAGGAATTACTTAACGGGTACAATGGACATTAAATGGGTGACAGAGATGCTAAAAGCCAGACTTTGCCATTTCACCACTGGGCAGTATGTCCATGGCACAAAATTGCCCTTGCAGCCCTTAAATTTATACCAGTAATAAAAGAGGCAATCATAACCATGCTTTCTTTAAAAAAAAAAAAAAGAAGAGCATTTGGTGAGACAGATGACAAGGGAGCAGGTGGCAAAAGAAGGAAGTGGAAAAGGGACACACTCCCTGCATGGGGGCTAAGGAGAAAGGAACTCAGGAGAACTGAACCGTGAGGCCATCTTAGGATGCCTTGAGCTGCCTCACCTTCACACAGTCACAAGAAGTGGGCCTGGGTTTGACCCAGGAATTCAGACCAGCCTGGGCAGCATGGCGAGACCCCATCCCTACAAAAATCAAAAAATTTAGCTGGGCGTGGTGGCACGTATCTGTAGTCCCAGCTACTTGGGAGGCTGAGGTGGAAGGATTGCCTGAGCCCTGAATGTTGAGGCTGTGGTAAGCCATAGTTATGTCACTGCATTCAGCCTGGGTGACACAGTGAGAACCTAACTCGAAAGGAAGGAAGGAAGGGAGAGAGGGAGGGAGGGAGGGAGGGAAGAAAGAAAGAAATGTAACCATGTGCTGGAAGGAGCACATTCTTCTCAGCATTTCTTCTGGGCCAGCCCTTGAGGGGCATAGCTACCCACAAACCCTGACTTCATGCCAAAGGCCACGGTCACCCCTCCTGTGTCCAAAGGTTGGGGGGGGTGAGTTTCATCCATTGAGATGCCTGGTCTGCCCCTTTTCAGAGCAGAGAATGGCTTCCTTTCTGGGCAGAGCTGGTGTGATTCAGGGTGGCCTCAGGGCTTTGTGACTTCCAGTCTCCGGGAAGGAAAGTTGGATGCAGGAACACCCATTACTTCTATTCTGTTGCCCCAGAGCAAATGGAGCTAGCTACTCTGTTCTGGCAGAGGTGTGTCTTTCCTGACACTCAGTTCAGTCCCTGTGGGCATCTGGCTGAACCCAGACCACCATCCGTGGTGCCATTATGGTTATGATTATGTGTGTGGCTGAGTCTGGAGTCCAGGGGAGCTTGTTCTTCGGGTGGCCAGGAGTTGTCTCTTGCTTCTCTCTGTATTCTCTAGCATTCCTGGCCACTTCTCAGGACCCTCTAGAACCTCAACCAGAGGGAGAGGAGGTGAACAGGAGGAGAGGTGAACCTCAGATCAGTTAGGCAGGTGAGTTTGCAGGTTGGTGGACTTCACAGAAAACCACTAAGCACCTAGAGGTCAGGGTCAGCCTCGCTGTCCCCCAAACCGGGGTCAGAGGCAGCATTCAGTGTATATATCATATAAGAACATTCATGAACACAGGAAGAGGGAGTCACTTCTGGCTGTGAGACTTGAGTCTTAAAAACTGTTTGTCTGTGATATTGAAGCAACAGATGATTATGACTTAGTTGTGTTACCAATTTGCTATTACATACAAAAAAAATCTTTTTCAGAAATTTTTTTTAAGCTCTTGAGTTTGATTCTCCAGAATTTATATTGCATTTCTGCTCAACACTCAAGGTAAACTTAAACTGGATTTGCATAATTTTGTCATGCCTTTTAGTTCCGGCCCATCTCTAATTCTAACAATTTATGCTTGTTTTTCAGTTAAAAAGGAGAGACAAAAATAGGCAATGCATTCTGGGTGGCTGGACTTCCTGAAATGGCTTTGGAGAAGAGGCTCTTTTGAGTTATAGCCCCATAGCCAATGCCAATCACTGAATTACTATTTTAGCTTCAAAAGGGACCCTGGCCAGGTGCAGTTGCTCAAGTCTGTAATCGTAGCACTTTGGGAAGCCGAGATGAGAGGATTGCCTGAGCTCAAGGGCTCGAAACCAGCCTGGGCCACTTGGCGAGACCTCATCTCTATAATAAATAAAAAAACAAGCTGGTTATGGTGGTGCATACCTGTAGTTTCAGCTACTTGGAAGGCTGAGGTGGAAGGATCACCTGAGCCCAGCAGGTTGAGGCTGTGGCTGTAAGCATGTCACTGCACACCAGCCTGGGCGATGGAGTGAGGGTTGGACTGAAAAAAAAAGGGACCCTGGAGTGGTCCCCTAAGCCAATGCTCCATTGCTTGAAGCAACTGAGATTCAGACAGGGATCTATCTTCACTCCCCAATTATTCATGACTTTCCCCTGTGTCTTTTGTTCAGTGGCATTGCTGTCCTTCCCACTAGCACAGGGGAAACGGATTTCTCTCACTCCATTGATATTGGGCCAGTAAAATGTAGGTGAAAGTGATGATAAGTCAGGCCCCAGTGAAGCCTCTGGGAGGCACCTTGCATTTCCACCTTCTCTCTTACATTCCATGTGATACCAGGAGAACAACCCAGGTAGCTGCTGGTCCAAAGAAAAGGAGCAAACACGTGGGGCAGACACGGACCCAAGTTGCTGCTTCAATCAAACATAACCATCCTGCAGCTTGAAGCAGAGCTGCACAGCCACTCCCAGTTAAGACTAATCATACCATAGTCACCTGATGGACGCCTGTATGAGTTGGAGAGTATATGCCGGTGGTTCCAAACTGCTGAGCTTGGGGTGGTCTGTCACATCGCTTATTGTAGCAATAGCTAACCGATAAAGCTGAGGGCCGAAACCTCCACTCTTATTCCCCTCTGGTCGAGTGTGCTTTTTCTCCAGATATCTCGCTTGTCATGGGGCCTCTAAAGCACTCACCATCCACACCATCATGTAGGAGAAGGCGGCAATCCACAGCGTGGAGGAAGCAAACGTCACCATAAACCACTTCTCCCAGCGTGGCTTGTTGCAGTTGGGTACAGTGAAGTATAAGACGAAACTCAATGGCCAGGTGAACGCCCATTTCACTGTTTCCAGTTTGCCAGCTGGAAAAATAAAAAAGGCAAGAAAACACAGACACAAAAACAAGAAGGAAAATCTGTTAACTTTGTCTGCTCTCCTAGTTCCTACACTGCTTTCCCCAGAATAAAACCACTCAATTCTTAAAACACTCAAATGCCTTTCCTTCACCAAAAAATCCTGACATACAACACCAAACAGAATAAAAAGAAATTATCCACTGCCCACCTATCTCTGAACTGACAGGGTGAGTCACTTCTGAATAATACCGGGCTGAAGGAACGACTTGGCAAATGGCTGGGTGGGAAAAGATGAAGACGATACTCAGGACACAAAAGGGAGGGAGTGTGTGTAGTTGTGTGTGTTGAGGGGTTGAAACAGGGGGCGGAGAGCAAGGAAGACCACCAGTCAGCATCTGTCCTGCACAGGATTTGCTAAGCACATTTCTTCCAGATGATAAAGTGACGGTGGGCACAGCGCCGTCTCGTGGCATTTCTCAGCATCGTCCGAAGTGCTCTGAAATCTTGGAGGAGGATTTGAAAGCTCTCAAGGCTGAGGAAACATTACTGGTGTGTTTGTATCTCAAGCTAATAAGGATTTACAACTGAGTGGTCACTTTCTAGATCACCAAAGACAGGATGATGGATCTGTCAGTCATGACCTGCTTCTGCCTGAGGACTTTGTGGATTGGAGACACCCAGAAATGCTTCTTTTGGTGGTCAAATACTTATTTTTTATTTTTATTTTTGCCAAGACTTCTTGTAGACTCAGATTTGACAAACATATGAGTACTCGCTTGGCCTTTGTCACCATCCTGCTTAACTGCTAATTCCCCTCTGGAAAGAAACATGCATGTACCAGTACTCCTCATGTCTGAGATGTATAAAGCATCTCCATCTTCCAGAAAGTTCCCTGAGTCCTTTCTAGTCAGCCCCTCCACTCCCACCACCATAGATGAGTTTTTTCTTTTCTCCAGCATTAAAAATGTGAGATCATGTTGTATGTTTAAGGGTCTGCCTTCTTTTATTCAACATAATGTTTTTGAGATTCATTCACGTGTCAGTAACTCATTCTTTTTCTGGTTTTGCAATATTCCACCCTGTGAGTACACTACGATTTGTGTATTCCTCCTACTGTGGTTGGGCCCTGGGCTGTGGCCACTTGCAGAGTATTGCAACTAACGTGACTATGAACATTGCTGTGTGTGTCTTTTTGTTGGCCTGTTTCACTTCTCTTGGGGGAGGGCCAGTAGAACTGCTGTGTCATGGAGTGGGTGTTTATTTAACTTTACAGGAAACTGCCAAATCGTTCTCCAAAATGAGTGGACCATTATATATTCCCGGAGGAGTTAAGGAGGTATTTTTAAAATCATAACATTTTGAGCAGTAATTAAATGTTTAATAAAAACTTATTTTGTAATGTTATGCCAGCGTCCAATGTGTATTTCATTTATCTCTCACCAGTCTCCAAATAGTTTCTTAAACCTCATGGAAAAGTCACCTCACATTTCTGGTGCCCTCTGGTCTCTCTCGATGGCCAAGGCACAGGGTCTATAGCGGAAAGAAGGGCTTTCTTGTCAGTGCGGGGTTCCTGTACCCTCTCTGTAGCTCGTAAGTTGAGTGACTCAGTTATTTAAATTCTCTAAGCCTCTGTTTCTTTGTCTGTAAAATGTGGTTACACTGGCCCTGAACTCAGAGTGACTGGAAGAATTAAATGAGATGGTATCAGGAAAAGGGCTAGGACCACGTGAGTTCACAAGTTGCTCCCTCAAAATCCTGGTGCACATTTGCTTCTTCTTTTTCTTCCCCCATCTCCCACCTTTCACACAACCATGGCAATCAGCCTAGGGCATTTTTACCAGGCCACCCCTGGGGCCAGGTTGTCCATATATGACTTTGCTGAGGACCTGGATTCCTGAGGGGACTTCTGCTCCAATGCCTGTCCCACTTCTATCTGTTTGTCACCAGGACCAGAGGGAAAAATCTCAAAAAGTGATTTGTTCTAGAACCTTCCACTGGCTTTCACTGCTCTCAGAGTACAACCATGTCTCCCTACCATGGCCCACAAGGCCCATCTAATTTTGCCCCTGCCTGCCACTCTTCCTGCTTTTACACCCCCTCGTCCTGGCTTGCTTTCTGTCCTCATACACTTCAAGCCTTTTGCTGCCTCAGGACCTTTGCATGAAGGGGTCCTTCTGCGTGGATCTTCTTGTGGCTGAGTCTGCTCTGTCACATTGGCCACCTCACCACTCGAATGCCATTTGTGCCCTCAGATACATCTAAATAGAATCCTGCTTTTCTATTTACCCACTTTTATTTGCTTCATAGCAAATATTTCCTGTCTGAAATCAACACGATTATTTGTTTCATTTATTTTTCAGTCTCCCTCAAATGAGAATAAACTCTGAGAACACGGGTTTCCTTTTGCTTGTTCACTACGCTATCTCGAAAGTCACAGACAGCACAGAACATATATCATATGCTCAGTAAAAATAAATAACAGCAAGTATTAGAAATAGTCATAACATTACTATGAACAATCTAATTAGATAAACCATGGAAAATTATTTGCTTTTGGGAATTTAAGGGTATCTAGCTTACAAGTACAGAATAAAGCAAAGAGAAAAAAATTATGAAGAAAGAGGAAGTCTTTTCCTTTTAGCTGCTGTGCTTCTTGTTGGGTTTAAGAGTTGGAGACGCCGGACTCGGTGGCTCAGCCTGTAATCCCTTGCTTTGGGAGGCCGAGATGAGTGGATTGTCTAAGCCCGTGGGTTTGAGACCCACCTGGGCAACTTGGCGAGACCTCATCTCTACAATAAATCAAAAAAATTAGCTGGGCATGGTAGCGCGTACCTGTGGTTCCAGCTACTTGGAAGGCAGAGTGAAAGGATCGCCGGAGCCCAGCAGGTCGAGGCTGCGGTGGCTGGGAGCGTGCCACTGCACTCCAGTCTGGGCGACAGAGTGAGACTTCAACTCAAAAAAAAAAAAAAAAAAATTGACACTGTGTGGCTGGATTACAAAGTGAGAAGACATCTGAGGGTTGTTTGGGAGGGGCTTTCAAGTGCTGCAGAATCTACAATATGGCCAGATCTTTGGATCCTGAAATTCTGCATATTCCTAAATCCTGAATCCACCAGCTGGCCTTCCATATGGCCGGTGCCTTTACACAGAGAGAGAGGCTTGATTCGGTTTAAAATACAGGCCCAAACACAGATCACAAAGAAACGCATGAGTAGGAAGAGAAATGACCTCAATTTGGCTCTTTGACATTCTCCAGGGGGGAAAAGAAAGAAAGAAGAAAAATGAAGACAGAACTTATGAGTGCAAGAATTTGGAAGATGGTATTGATTAGATAAAGTTGCAAGCAGTGCAAGTTAGCGCCACAGAGTTTTTCTGACTGTTTTCAGAAATGTTGACTTGACGCTGGATTGGGAAGGCATTGATGTGGGGAACATTATTTTTTAATGATATATATGCTTTCTTTAAGTTATCATCCCTCTGTAACAACAACAACCTCAAAGGTAGAAATTCAGTGAGCATTATCTGAATTATATCTTTAAATGTAATGTAGCAAATCTGACTCCTTGAACAAACCAAGCAATACAGAAAGGTCCTATTTAAATGATTTTGAGGAGCCACGGATGTTACATAAAGTTTATCTGCATTTTAGCCACCCTTAACTTCCAGTTCTGAATAAAGGGGTACAGATGGTTTCCTTTTTTCTTTGAGCCAATAGCATTTCTGGACATTTTTCTGTCTTTGATTTCATCACAATTTGCTCCAAATACAGTGTCAATAGGGACAGGCCTATTCGTTCACTTAACAGACACTTATTGAATACCCTCTGTGTCACTCTGGGCAGGAGCTGCTGCAGGCACTGGGGACACTGCAATCAATTGAGGAAAGAAGACTCCCTGCCCACCAACCCAGTGTATCCGTGACTACGTGATTTGAGGATAGTCAGATAGCAGAGGGCGTGAACCAGGGACTGTGAGCTTGACAACACCCCTCTGAATACAATTTGGTTTTAGAAAGCAAAAGGACTTACTTCTAAATTATGGTCCTTAGTAAGTTTTTTAGAAAACTTAATTCTATTGGAGAAATAAAAGATCATTGCACAGTATTTTAGGCCTAGGCCTAAATATATATGTATTTGTTCTGATGATACAGGCAATACAAATGTATGTTGTTCTAAAGTAGAAACAATAGGACAACCTCCTAGGGTCCCCCTCAACTGTGGGAGCTTTTCTGTCCTCTCAATAAATCCTGCTTTCTCAAAAAAAAGAAAAAAAGTGGAAACTAAAGAAAGACTATAATTTCACTTTGGAAAACATATATTTTGGTGATATTTCCTTCTAGTCTTATACATGAAAATGTTTTTTTTCCTGCTTATCAGTCATAAGGTTTTCTTTACTCAAAAGATAAGAACAGTGGCGTATTTATGTTTGTATGCACAAGTACCAAGCAAAGGTTCGTATAAAACAGGACATTTTATGGTCCACATTTCCTGAGGCTAGTTATCAGATGTATTTCACAGCTTTTCAGTAACACCCAGCAGAAGCATTAACATATATAACTTTTAATATGTATATGCATATATCAAAATAAGTATGCTAGCATCTGTGCATATATTATATGTGCATTCAACATAATATATTAAATATGCACTTAGAGGATAGCATGGCAAGTATTCGAGTGCAGCACGTACCCACATTCCTGAGAGTTAACAAAAGATGCCTTCTCCTTATCTCCTATGCACTCCAGTAACTTCAAAGAACAGTTAACTTCCCTGAAGACTGGGCCCAATTAACTGAGAGATATAAATTCCCACTTACTCTCTTTTCTTAGTAGTCACAGGTTTGTATAACTTTTATATTAATGTAATCATAAGTCTTATGATTTGTATAACTTTTTGGGTATAACAACATGCAACAATGTATGATGTCTTAGGCCCTGTTAACTCCCTTTACTCTATGGCAAGCTTGATTAATGCCTCTGATGTGTGTTATGGATAAAAAACTGGGAGATCACTAATGCAAGGAAATGTGGACCATAAAATGTCACTATTGACAAAATGCAGCTGTAACTTAGGTTCTGTACAATGCTCTGCTAGTCACGTAGTCAATGTATTGGTACCAACTGCCTTGAACTTATAAAAGCAGTCTGTAAAACTTGAAGGGTGAGCAGAACTATTTTAAAGAGGCCGAAAGCCCACTCTGCTTCCTGGATTCGAATTCATAAATAAAACTCTTTCTACCAGTTCCCTGCCCCTTTTATTTATTGGTATCAAGCGAAAGCAGCCGAGCGTTACTATATATGTGCAAGTTATATGCATACATTTTATCAGTCATTTGCACACTGTAATATAAGCATGTATACATACTCACAAACAGCATTTCCGTACTCCCAAATAATTACTTGTCAATCATACCCACTATAGTCAAGTCCTAGAGAGAAGAGAGCCCTGAAGCTGAGTGCCAGGAATAGGCCACCAATGCAATGAGAGGGGAAAATGCCCTTATAGTGTGCATGGGACCCTTTTCAGGTCGAAGGAGCTTAGCTCGAGAAAAACCAATCTTGGGGCTTTCTGGACTGAGTCCCAGGCTCCTGGAGGCCTTCTGCTAGCTTGAGGCTTGCTCCGTCTTCTCAACCCAGAGCAGATGCCTGCCTGCCCCAGTGAAGGGCTTGCCAGGGCATTTAGTTCCCCTTGTAGTTCCTGATTCTAGGCATGAGGTTTCTTAGCAGCCGGTGGAAGGGAGGAGATAGATGTAATCAAGCACGCCCACTCTTCATTTAAGAGGCAGGTCTTGGTTTGAACCTGGCTCTCCTATGTCTTCAAAAAACAGTGGTGATCACTGAGTACCTCTAGGCCTCCAGTCCCTCGCCACTCCAAGTGACCAGCAGCATCTGTGTCACCTGGAGGCTTGTTAGAAATGCAGACTCTTGGGCCTCACCCTAGAATGCCTGAATCAAAATGTGCATTTTATTAAGGAGGCCCAAGTGAGAAGGGCTGTGGAGAATAATCTATAATTCTGCTTCCTATCTTGGCAGCTCAGGTCCCTGGAGTGACACAGAGACGCTGAGTGGTAGGACCATCCAGAGTATCATCTCTACTTTCCTGCCTGTGCTCCAGGAAGGACACAGGGCACCTGGCACGGGATTCCAGAGCCTCAGCTGCAGGACTAGGTAAGGGGTTGGATGCCTGTAACCACATCTCACATACAGGAGCCCAGAAGGTGTGGCTGGTGGTCTGAGGCCTTTGTCATCTGCAGCCTCACCACAGTGACACAAGGACCTTGAAACTCCAATTAGGTGTGGAACTGATCTCATCCAGGAGAGAAATGCAGAACAAGGGACCTGAAGTGGCCCTCTATCCTGCTAAGTAAAGTGGCCCCGGACGCGGGAGCCAGGTGTCCCATCTTACACATTTGTCTTGCATCATCTGCCTGAGGCCCACTGGGCCATCTAACACCACGCCCTCCATTGTCAGGCCCTCCATTGTCTGCCTGGAGGGTGCACATGGGGATTCTGGGCTTCCCAGATCCCCGGACTCCATCCATGAAAAGAGTTTAGCAAAATAGGCGTTTCTGGAGCTTGACTGTGGCTGGCCAACGGCGGACCCTGAACACAAGGGCCGAGTGGGCAGAATCCTAGACCTGAACCGGTCCCCCACAGCCACCTGCCTTCCTCGTCCCAGCCTGTCCACCTACAGTTGGGTGCACAGCGTCCTTCTCATGCTCCTCCTCTTTCTGCCTCCCCTTCTGCTTTTGGAGGCTCCAGGGCCCCCTGCATCATCTCTGCCTGAAGGCCTGCTGTGCCATCTAACACTGCACAGTCGGGACGTGTGGCCTACCCTTCTCACAGGCCCAGAGACTCCTGGGGGCTCAGGTCTAGGATCCTGTCCACTCGGCCCTTGTGTTCAGGGTCTGCCCTTGGTCTGGAAATGATTCCCCTGGGACCTGTGGGAGGGCCTATACTCCTGCCTGCACTGCATCACAGCCTGGCCCTTGGGTCACTGAGAACCCCGCTGGACTTCCCCGCTGTCATGCAAACTGTGAAAATAAACATTGGAGTTATAAGGGAGGGACGGAGTATTTGGTTGTTTAATCCTTAAGATGCTTTTGTCCTGGTTGATAGGGAAGAGGTTGCCAAGACATATATCTGATGATGGCAAATGGATAAAGAGTGTCTCCATCAAGTAATGGTTTGCCTGTATCCAGGCAGTTGGGAAGTTTGGTATAGGAATCTTGATGGGTACATTCGAATTAGTTTTGGTAAATTCTGGATGAGGTTGAGATCTCAGGCACCCTGAGTGACCCTGGGAGCAGTTCTGGTCTGGCTTTACTTGCTGTCCCCTGGACACAAAGAGGAATTCCTTAGGGATCGTGAATCTGAATAGAACCCTGGACTCTGATACGCTACACCTGCGTCCTGCCATTAAATGAACTTTCAAGTGGGTCAACAACCCTTCCTCAAAAAGTCCTCCTGCAAATTCAAATTCCCCAGAGTGGGTGTTACACATGCTAACTGAACCTCATACACTTGACAGTCTATGTGAATTGGACCAGTGTACTCTTCCCTGCAACAGCCAGAGCATTCTGGAAGGTGTAGAAATTAGGCAGAAGCCGGACTCGGTGGCTCAGCCTGTAATCCCGTGCCTTTGGGAGGCTGAGGTGTGTAGATTGCCTGAGCCCACGGGTTCGAGACCCGCCTGGGCAATTTGGTGAGACCTCATCTCCACAATAAATCAAAAATGAGCTGGGTGTAGTAGCGTGCGCCTGTAGTTCCAGCTACTCAGAAGGCTGAGGAGGAAGGATCACCAGAGCCCAGCAGGTCGAGGCTGCGGTGACCAGGAGTGGCCACTGCACTCCAGTCTGGGTGACAGAGTGAGACTCCAACTCAAAAAAAAAAAAAAGAAAAAGAAATTAGGCAGAATTCTTTGGGTTTGGTTTGCCTGTTCTGATCATGGATGGGGTGGGGTGACAAGGTTTCTGGAACAACCAAGTCCTTGCTGGAGGCAGCAGTCAGGAGAGAAGGACACTTCCCTGGTGGCTGAGGTTCTGGGAGACTTTACAGACCTCCCCCTTCAAGGTACCAGGGAGATGCCCTCAGTCAGCCCTATGGGTAGGATTTAGGGAGCCCAGGATGCTTTTGTCTGCATCTCTTGTTGTACCTGCCCTGGGGACAGCAGGTCTTGGGAGAGGAAGGACCTGATTAGGGATGAGGAACAGGCATTGAGATCAAAGCTTGGCTTCACACATTCCCCAGGGCTGGCCCTGGCAGGACACCTCGCTTGGCCAGTTGTGATGGGATGGGTATAGGTGGTGAAGCACCTCTCCCCTGCAGCACTAAGCTGGTTTGCTAACAGGTCATGTGTATTTCCTCCTTAGTATCAAAAGGCCCCATGAAACAACTGAGAGAGGACCATCCTCCACAAAGCCCAGTTAGGCAAAGAGCTCAAATTTCAACAAATGGTCATGTGCTGCTTTGGACCTTCTGCAGCAGAGTCCTGCCCGCTGTAGAAACCTAATGTAAATATTTTTATTTTCATATATATTGTTTGAATCAAAGTGGCTCCCAACCCCAGCCCATACGCAGGACCTCTTACAGGGGGGGTCGAATGGCGTGTACGGTCCTTCATCATCGTCCTCCTCCTCCTCCTCCTCCTCATCGTTCTCGTTGTCCTCATTCTCATTCTCTGTTTCGTTGCCAGCCTCGGCAACAGCATCGTCCCTCCTTGTCCCGTTCACGCCCCTGTCTGGGGTACTGCTGGGTCCTGTCCCATTCTCCACAGTGTGCTTAATTGGGATTTTGATGGCCACCTCGGATTCCCCATTGGCGTAAGCTCTGCTGTTTATCAGTCTTTGTCTCTGGAAAGAGAAAGGCACAGTCTTACCACAGTCAGAGGGATTGCAAATACCTTATACCCAGAACATGAGCTGCTGGGAGCTTTTTAAGGCAACTGACAAGGAGACGCTTCCAGAAGACTCTGGAGTCAAGTTTGAAGGGATTCCTCAACATGATTACCAACTCACACAATTTCCTTCTGGGAGGAAAGATTGAACTTTTCACTGGAGCTTACAAATCCTTTTAGAGGAGAATTCCTATGTCAGGAATGTATACTTCCTTGATGTGTACTGTGGTGCTGTCTTTCTTCTGCAGATTGTAGGAGACCCTGTCCCCATGTAAGAAAGTCCTTCAGCTGAGTTTGCACTAGTGAATCAATAAGGCCAGAGAAGGGAATACACAGGAAAATTCATGTCAAGCGTTCTGGATTACTTAAAACTAAGGTAACTTAATTAGTAACTACTTGTGTGCAAGTTGACATCGAGGGGCTTTACTTAAATGGAAAAATAGAAGAAAAAAGGTAGGGAGAAGGGGACAGGAGAGCTTTTCTCTATAACTGGGAACTAGACCATGGCCCTCAATGTGTGGCGGGAAAAATAAGAGCAAGGAAACATAGCTGGCCCAGGGAGCAAAGATGTTGGAAAAGGCTGAGGGTTGTTACGGTGTTAAACTGAGTTCAGTGCTGCTTCTTTCCAACAAGAACCTGTCTCTCTTTCCCAGTGTCCCGGCCCTGTCCAGTGGTCAGTGGTCTGTACTTTCCTGGGTACCTCATTGATCAGCATGCGGCTGGCCATGGAGAGCCGGGTCTTGGGAGGGAAGTGGCTTGTGATCATGATTCGAAGGCCAGCCTCGGAGAAGGAAAGCTGGTGTGGGTAGGCCGACAGCAGCTCATCCACCATGATCACTGACGCTTTGCGGTGGAAATTGGCTAGGGAAATGAAAAACATAAAAGCATGGAGGCCAGGAGCAGAAAAGAGGCATTCATTCATTCATTCTTTCTCCCCATCCCTTCTCTTCCTCCCTCCATCACTCCCACCCTTCTTTCCTACCATCCATTCATTCATCCATCTTCCTTCCATCCTTCCATCCCTCCATCTTCCTTCCTTCCCTCCATCCATCCACCCATTCACCCATTCATCCATCTTCCTTCCTTCCTTCCATTCTCTTCTCTTCCTTCCATTCATTGTTCTTTCCTTTCTTCCTTCCATCCATCCATCTTCCTTCTAGCCATTCATTCATCTTCCTTCCAACCATCCATCCACCTTTCTTCCTTCCGTCCCTCCATCCATCCATCTTCCATCCATCCATCCATCCATCTTCCTTCCTTCCATCCATCCATCTATCCACCCACCCATTCATCCATCTTCCTTCCTTCCTTCCATTCTCTTCTCTTCCTTCTATTCATCCTTCTTTCCTTCCTTCCTTCTATCCATCCATCCATCCACTCAATTTATCCATGTTCCTCCCTCCCTCCCTCTCTCCCTCCTTTCCCTCCCTCCCTCCCTCCTTCCTCACTTCTTTCTTTATTCGTTCCTTTCTCCTATTGATCCATCCATAGTTCTTTCCTTACTCCTTCCTTCCTTTCTTCTTTCCATCCATCCATCCAACCCACCCACTCAATCATGTATCCAGGGAGGGTTGCAGTGAGCAAAATGTGGAGAAGAGTAAAAATCTCCCTTCCATGGGTCTTAATGATAACTCTTTTGAAATGACTTGAGACAATTTAAGCATCATTCATTGACATAGTAAGAATGAATGATAACAAAAGAGAGTTCCTCCATGTCCTCAAAGGACTCTTTTCCCACCATTCTAATGTGGGGCACAGGGGAGGCCAAACTTGGAGTAACTCTTTATGCCCTTCAATTGTTAGCAGTATTCATGCTGAGCTGTTAAATGCTACAGCACTGATGTCGGTGCAGGTGGAAGACATGGGGAAAGGACACATTCCTTCAGCCCAGCCCTTGAGCAGCACTGACAAGGGGTGGGTGGGCTGTCCACATTACAGAGGACTGAGATCAAAAGGGGACTTGGAACAAATCCTGTGTAACAATTCACTGGGAGCCCTGAACACAACATTCCATAGAGAGCCTGGGCCAAGCTCCCTCTCTATGAATGAGCAGTCTGTGCATACAGCTCACGGGTACCTGGCCACAGCCTCTCTGAGTACTCGCTTCTATTTTCCAAGCCACCAAACCATGAGATGATTTCTGGAAACATTGACTCATATTAGGTAGTTCTCTTTGGTTCCTTAAGAGGGTTTCTTTTTGGTTATAAACTACCCAGAAGAAATGAAATAAAATTCTCATGTGGAATGGTACTAGATAACTCAAGTCTTTTGTTAAACATACATATATGATTATTCAGAAAAATATATCAAATATTTGATTTTCAAAATTTAGTAATTACCCAGAGACTTCAAAGTCAGAGACATATTTGAAAATAACCCATATATTTTCTAATTTCTTTTTTTGTTCTTTCTGCAAGGCAACCAGATGGAACCAAGAAGCAATAAATTCACACATTTCAAAAGAAAAGTTTAAAAAAATGAAAAATGAAATACATTCCAGGCAAAATTAAATGATAATTTTCTGTGTTCCTCTAAAAAAAGAATATTATTTATCAGAGAGCACCATATTTTTTCCCTTAGTATATCAACTGCTTTGTAAGAATCTTTTGAGTATGAGAATAACTTTAAAAAGTAATTTTCTATTTCTGTTTGCAGCTTAGAAACTGAGAGTTAGTGGAGCCTGAAAGTGAATCTGGATATAGTAATATGCTAATAACACCTGTCATTTACAGAGCATTGCAATAAACTCTTTTATGTGGTTATCTGCTTTGCTTATTACAAAAATGAATTCCATTTTTCAAAAAAGAAAACTGAGGTTCAGAGAGGCTAAGTAACTTGTTGTTCCATGATGTAGAAGGTGGGAGGACTGGAACCTTCTGTCTTGGGGTAGGCAGGCAGCATCCTCTCAAGGCCAGCTGGGACATGACGGGTATGGCTCTGCTGGTGGGCAGATGGGCTCACAGTCTACACTTCTGCTTTGGACACAGGTGTCTGCTGGGTTACCTTTCTTAAGTAGCACCACAGTGGCATCGCAGTTGCTGCTGTCATCAATTTCAGCATTGTTGGCCAACCCGTTGACCATGTTCCCAGCACCTTTTGTCCTCCGTTCGAAGCACTGATGTATGCAAGCATTATATCTGAGCAAAGCAACATGTGGAAAGAGCCCATCAGCATTTGCCATTCTGACATTTCCCACCTCCCCTGGAGCTTCTGGGAGCTCTCCCAGTCTGGATGCGTTGTGTGAGACTCTGTGCCTCAAGTCAGTATTTTCCTTATTTTCAACCAATGCCCCCTCAGAATAGGCAACCCATTCAATTTAAGAACATATAATGTGAGACTAGAACCACCATTATATAACAAAGCCACACCATTATATAACAAAGTTGCAATTTCTTTCGTGTCAGTGAAAGCATCTCTCGGGTCACGTCTCCAGGACCTTTGTGTTCAGGGACCAGCTTGTCAGGAGAAGTAGAAGTTATCTCATCTATGCCCTACCCAGGGGCAGAGGCTGTGTGTCATGGTCCGTGTGCTACAGGGTGGCAGTCTAGGTCTTTGTGTGTTTTTGGTTTTCTGAGGTCACAGGCTGGGATTCTGTGACTCTTAGTTGCTTTTGTGCCTTAATTCCAGGTCCAGTAGGCTCTAAACCTTACAAAGCAATCTGAGCTATGATTCTCCAGAATGACCAAGTAAAAAAATTGTGCAGTGCTTCCTAGATGTCCCAGCAGACCTGTCTTGGGAGGGAAGAAGCTTACTAAGTTCCTAGGATGCTTTGGCAGGTAAATGTTACAAGTCCTTTATCTTTAGTGTTAGGAGATTCTCATAGAAGATTCTAGAAAACTCATGCCTGCAAAGACAGCAGATGTGGTTTCCAGGGGGTTGTAGATCACTGTTGCTTTCCCACTCTCTCAGGGATCTAAAGATCTCCATGATCTCTAGTGGACAATCTATTGAGATGCCCCCACAGCTTGACCTTCAGTCACCCTCACCCTAAATTGCCAGCTGAAAAGCTATTCAACCTGTTTCCCCTCCTCTTCAGCATCCCCCTTTGCTGTTACAGACATGGGGCTCCCTGGAGTGCTTCCCAGTTGAATTCTTGGGCCTGATTCTTCAGTCAGTGCAGCTCTGGGGTGGAAGGCTGATGGGGGCAAGACAATCTTGGTGGGAGAGATGGAGGGTCCCTGTGTGGCTGTATCTTCTCATCCACGAGCCCCTTCCAGCACTCCCTAGAACCTGAGTTCTTCCTACTACATTGCGTGAGGGAGAACAGAAAACAAAAGTGGTGAGTGCTGGCTGCACAAAGGAAAAGGGGAAACCCAATCCTGGTGAACTCCCAGGATTCCCAAGACGCAGGTCTAGAATTAGAACATCACTATTCTGCAACCTTAGTGAAATACCAGATCCTGATACTGAGCATCAATGGCTGCCAACATCTCACAGGGAGAAAGACAGACATCAAAGGGCAGAACCCATCGCCACTTGGGATACAGTCTAGCCTGAGTCCAATCAGTTCTGGCATAGAGGAAGCACAGAGGCCAAGGAACTGGCTGCATTATATCACAGAATGCTATCAGTGATTTCCAAACCATGGACAACTCTGCAAACAACCAAACCTTGTCAAAGATTTAAAGTGCAAGGAAAACCACCACCACGACCACACATGTGCGCGTGCGCGCGTGCACACATACACACACACACACACACACACACACACACACACACACAACACAGAGAGGGAATTTATAGATTAAAAGAGACCCCCAAAAGGGAGCAACTGATTATAACAGGAAGAATTTATTTAATTCTCATTTCAAAAATAATTATGACATTTATGAGACTAAAAATGGTAAAAAATAACATTTATGAGACAACTGAGAATTGAACATTGATTGGATATTTTATGATGTTAAGGAATTAGCATTAATTTTAGGTATGATTGTAACATTGTGGTTATATTAAAAAATAGTCCACTTAGAGTCTTAAAAGGGTCTCTAGATATGCCTAGAGAGTTCCAGACATACCCTGGAATTTTTATGAGTGAATTAATGTGCTATCTGGGGCTTCACTATTATATAGGGGAAGGAGTAGAGAGAGCACCCATGGACTGATGATTACTGGGACCAGTGAGGAGCACCTGGGGTTCATCATACTATTCTGTTGACTCTTGTATACATTTAACATTGCCCTTAGAAAAAAGATCGTGCCTCACTTTCTAGGTTCAGCAAAAATGCCTTGCCCCATAGAGCTATAGGGAAAGAGGAAGCGTTTCTGTCACCTTAACTTAGACCCCATTTCCATCATAGAAATACTGACTTGCATGAAAGGCTTTCTAAAAATTCTTTTCTTTTTTCTTTAAAACAGGATCTCACTACATTGCCCAGGCTGGGTTCAAGTGATCCTCCAACCTTAGCCTCCTGAGTAGCTGGGATCATAGACACATGCCACCACACCTGGCTATAAGTGTTTGCTTTTAAAATACAACTGTGTATTACACATTTATTGGGGTATATGGATAATACTACTATACAATGAGGGCTTTCTTAAATGAGATACTTGGTCAATAACTAAGCTGTCACATCCCACCCTTATTTTTCTGCTTTGAGGTAGAAACTATTAATTTTGTTTTGCAGAAGAGGAAACTGAGATTCAAAATGGCTGAATAGCGTGGCTGAGGTACCACGACTGGTGAGTGGCAGGGTAGGATCTACTGTTAGGGCTAAATGTCAATTCTCTGCCACCAGCATGTATTGCCTCACCTGGAGGATAAATTCCACAGAAGTGAGCCAGGATGGATAGAAATCAATCCTTGCTGAGGCCAGGTCTGCCTCATGCTCCTGTCAGGTTTCTTCCTACCTGGCCAGTCTGAAATTGCGTTTTGACCTGCAGACAGAATGTTTAAAGTCCCTTTAAAGCTCTCCACCTAGGAGGCAGCTGATGATCCTAGTATATGCTGGTTTTTAAAAACTGCTGCTGCTGTTTTATATTTTTAATTGAATGTTTTAAATTTTGTGCCTGCACCCTGAAGCTATTTTATTGTGAAGCATGCAATTTTATAAATCAGATTTTATAAAACCCAATGATTAAAGCCTCTGATTGCAGAGGGGGTGGCGAAAGAGCAGAGATTTCAATTTAGAACTTAGGACCAGAATTTATGCAGAAAATTTTGCGAGCACAGTAGCTTCCATTCCTGGTTTTATTTGCATCCTGCTGGTTTGAACAGCTGGAATGTTGGTAAAACTGAGGCATCAGCAGAAACACACCTCATTAGCTTCCACATTTGGTTTGGTTTGGGGGAGAAGAGAGGATATGTTTGCTGTGCTATCTTAATGTCCACACGTTTTGCCAGCATCATATAGGTTTTACGACATCTTGGTTAAGGGGAGCGGTGGCCACAGAATGCATGCCAGCAACATTCCTCAAGCCTCTTCCCTTCAGACCAAATATGTTTTTGAAGAACATCTCATTCTGTGAAGCCCCTAGTGAATTCATTTTAGGACAAACTTCCATGAAAATTCAAGACCCAAGACCCAGGATTCAAGGCCCAAGGTCAATGTTGAATATCTAGCAGATAATATATGGTATTCTTCTGGAATAACTGACTGATCCATCTTGGGGAACTCAAACTTAGAGCTTCAAAAAGTTAAAAAAAAAAAAGAGGTGAAACAGTCTGAAAGAAAACACTGAAGGAAGATAGTGTGTATTGTTTGAGGCTTCTGTACTTTGTCACTGATTCTCTGTAAAGTTTTGCTCTTTGAAGCAAAGAGGAGCAAGATGGTTGCTTCCATCTTTAAAGACTTTTCCCATAAAGGCTAGACATCCTGGGAAGCTTTAGAGTCACCTTAATTTTCACAGGAGTCCATCTGTTGGTACTAAGTGGAAGGTGATTAGTTCTACGGTTGTGACTTCTGGCTTCTTCATCCATTATCTTGTGGCAACTCCACACGAGTATAGTTTGAGTGAGGTCTTGTTCTAGGAATGCCCTTCTCCAAGAAGCCCTGGGTGTTGGCTCTACACTGACCATTGAAACACTCAGCACATGTTGGCTGCCACATTGAAGAGATTGGCTACAGAATGCTTACAGCCCACCCTGGACAGCAGACAAATCAGCTCCAAACTTCACTGTCCCCATGATGTTTGCTAAAGTCCATGCTGATTTCTCCCAACAAGTCTCTCAGTCACTGGTGGTCAGAATTTAGTTTGGTCAGGCCCCAAGACAAGGAAACTTTAGTGTGTCAATTCCGGGCTGTGACCTGATATATCCAAACTTGCATTTTCTGGTAGCTTTCTACTTTCTTGCCCTCCCCTTCCACGCCCCGGAAAAGGCAGCCAGCCCTGTAGCTACATACACTGGGGTAAGCATGTGTTAACACGGAGGAGAAAAAGCAGCTCCCATGGGGGCAGGCATGGGATATCTCTGCATTCTGTATAAGCTCCTCATCTCAATGGTACTTGGCAAAGAGGCAAACCAGCAGGTTCACAACCATGGTGCCAAGGTGGAACTCAGAGTATGGGCAACACCTACAATATAATTTTTTTTGTTGTTGAGTTGGAGTCTCACTCTGTCACCCAGACTGGAGTGCAGTGGCCGCTCCCGGCCATTGCAGTCTCGACCTGCTGGGCTCCGGCGATCCTTCCACTTCAACCTTCCAAGTAGCTGGAATTACAGGCATGCACTACCATGCCTGGCTGATTTTTAAGTTTATTGTAGAGATGAGGTCTCACCAAGTTGCCCAAGCGGGTCTCGAACCCGCGGACTCAGGCAATCCACTCACCTCAGCCTCCCAAAGCATAGGATTACAGGCTGTGCCACCGAACCCGGGTTGCAATATAATTCTTAATAAAATTTTAAACTGCCCTGACTCCGGGAGGGAAAATAATATATGATGTAGTGGTTTTAAAATACATCAACTTGGACACTTTTTGACAGGTGGCCCCTGGTTGGGACCCCTGATTGTGGACTGGACTTAGTGACTCACTTCTATTCAACAGAATATGGGAGAAGTGTTGGTGTGTGGGACCAGAATCTGGGACAAGATTACAAAAGGTGTTCCAGGGCCCTTCTTGCTCTCTCCTGAATCACTTGCTCTGGAGGAAGCCACTCAAGCAGCTCTAAGGAGTATCCTATGGGACGGGAAATTGAGCCCTCCAGCCCAGAGCCAGCATCACCTAGCTAGCTGTGAGGGCATCACCTTCAAGGCAGGGCCTGTGGCACAAGATGAGCACATTCCTGCAGCACCGACCAACATTTTACCTGCAACTTTGTGAGAGACCCTGAGCTAGAACCTTCCAGATAAGCTGCCCCTGGATTCCTAACTCTCAGAAACCATGTGAGATCATATGTGTTTGTGGTTTTAAGCCCTGAGTTTTTGGTTGTTACACATCAACTGATGACTAATACAATCTGAATAATGGAAGGCGGGAGGTATTAGAGCCATAATTTTAGTCATCTCTTAACTAGCTCTGGTCCTATTTTCCCTCACCCTCCATACAAGCGTAACTGACTGTGTTTTTCCTCTTTTTATAGAAAAGTGAGAAAACCACCAAAAGCTGAGAGGCCAGATCCTTGAAGAGGGATTGGGGTTCTAGAGAGTTCTCAAGTGAAACATTTAAACTCTGAGTCCATCATTGCATATGGGTGAGTGAGGTCATTGTTACTGATACTAAAAAAATGATAGCGATTCACAACAGGTGGCTGAGCAACCAGGTGGGTCTGTGATGACACACACTGAAAACCTGTCAGATACGCACTCTCCCTGGGTCCCTTCCCACATTGTCACATAGTGTTGAATGTAGGAAACGTTTTCTGAAAAGAAGTTAAGAAGGCATTTTACTTACTTCATGATGACAATGTAGATAAGATACATCAGCACAAGAACTAAAGACTCCCACCTGCATACAAACCAGAAACAGTTAAAGAAAGTCACCAGACAGCTGTGAAACTCACCCGTCTCCTCTTTAAAAACATGTTTGATGCACATGCACAGGACGGGAAGGGGAGGGCAGATGGGCAGATGGGCAACAGCTATTTCTTGGTCCACAGACAATCTCTACACTGCCTACAGTTTTCCACCATCTTTCCTCGCTCTCTACTGAAGGGGAAAACGCTCTCTCCTCTCTGTTATGTGTTCCCCTAAAAGAGCTCTTTGAAGGCAGCAAGGCTTTTATGTATACCATAGAATCTAGGCCTCTGTGTTATACATCTGACCACAGTCTAATAATTCACTGAAATTATTTAAATTTATTTACAACAAACAAATCGAAATTAGAGGAATTCATGGAGGCACCTGAGGGACGGTCAGATAAACAGGAGTGAGGGGTGTGGGGAGAGAAACAGACATGCAGACACACAGAACCCAGGCAGGGAAGGTGCCAACAGGAAGGGTGAGAAGGGGTGAGTGGGAAAACAGTCAGGAGAAAGGGAGAAAATGAATAAAACCCACTGGCATGTGGCTTGGGTGTCTCATGATTTGCATACTTCTGTTTTCTTTATTTTAAGAACTTCCAACTAGAAAACAGAAACTTGGTTTCCAGGCTTTCCTTTAGCTACAGTATTAAGTTAGCTAATTGAGGGAGTGATTTTGCTTCAAGAGCAGGATACTAGAGAACAGTCCCAAGAGGAAATTCCAGGTTATGCCCATCCTTCCTTTCCCTTTTCAAGTTCTGTGTCTAGAAGTTGATCCTAGGGAAAACTTTGGTCAACAGTTAGAAGGATGCATCTACCAGGGCTTTTGTTGCAGTGGGATTTATAAAAGGGAAGAGCTGGAAAGAGGCTAGCTGGGGATACAATGGTGGACTGGGTACCTAAGTTATATGCAGGTTTACACCTCTATTAAGAATGAGTATGCAAGCATGTGTATTCGTTATTGAAAATGCTCCCAACGCACTTTTGAGAGACGATATCAGGGTGTCCGAACGCCTGCAACTTCTGCCACACTTCTCTGCTTCGGTCATAGCAGAACCTCTCAAAGGGTCGCACACACTCCACATGGGTACCTTCCAGTCACCAAGCAAGCATCTCTAGTCTAACTTCCATATCCACTGATCCCAATTGCTTGTCTGTCTATACCAGACGAGGGATGGGTGGTGGCTGTCTGTCATCCTGTTTCGTTTCTTGGCAGCCTCTGAAAGGTCATCATCTGTTCCCTCCCTAAAACGCTCTTCTCTGACTTCCAAGAGGCCACCCCTAGTTTTCTACCTGTCCCTAGCATTTTCTTCTCCCTCCTTTTCCCCTCCTCCATTTCCTCAGTTCAGCCTCTAACTGTTGGGCCATCTTCTCTTTATTTCCTAAATTTTCTACCTAGGAGAGCTCATCCCAACCTGTTGCTGTAAATCCCAAGTACACAATAATGACCCCAGGGTACACAGTCAATCCACTCCTCTCTAGATCTGGAGATCCAAGGATCAATTTGGCATCTCCACCTGGAAGCCTAAATGCACATCAGAACAGAATTCTCCATTCCTACTTCCCTAGCTTTTTTTTCCTCCAATCCTGGACTTTGTCATCTAAGTAACCTCTTCTACTCCCTGCCCAGTCAAGCCTGAATTTGAAAATCAATAAGGTGCTCCTCCCTTGTGCCCACTCCCATATCAGGACTCTACGTCCCAGATATTTCACAGATTGTCATTTTCTTCCCTCTATAGCTACTTCCCTGGTCCATCTTTGCTTCGGCCTCAAGACTGGTGTCTTTGTACTGTTGGATCATGTCATTGCACTTCCTAAAACTCTTTAATTGCTTCTAGCATGCTTGAGGAAAAAAATAAAAGACTCCCCTTCCCTGCAAAAACCTAGTCCTTTTTCTTCTTCTCCAAGTCATCTTGTGTCCCATCTCAGTCCACCAATGGGTCATTCATTTGCATGTGGCAAATCTCATTTCCTCTTCCAGAGCCTTTGCTCTGACTGTTCCCCTTGCTATGGATGCTCTTCCCTTCACTCCTTGCCTAGACCCTTTGATCCCGCAGATTTCAACTTAATGGTCTCCTCCTCCAAGAAGACTTCCCTGCCTATTCTCCCTCGCTTTCTATCTTGCGACCCTGTTTATGTTCTTTAAGCCTCTGAACAGTCTGTCATTATCTGGTTTATTTATTTTTTACTCATTTATTATGTAACGAACACCTGTTTTTAGCAGTCACTTGATACCACTCCTCACACCTTCCCCTGTCCCATCCCTCCAGCATCTTGCTTCTCGTTTTCCTGGAGACTTAGAACCTTGAGAGCTGATCCCACCCCCCCCAAAACAGACACCCCTGTCCTTGCCCACTGTCCTCCTCTTCCCAGTACAAAGCAGCCCCAGCTCATGTATGCAGGTGGTATCTCCAAATGTCAATCTTCAGTTGCAGAACACCTCCGGTGGCCTGATATGGTTCTTAACTCAACAAAACCAATGTATATGTGGCACAAACTTCATGGGGGAAAGCAAGATTACTCATAGCATTCCTTTTGATCTGGAGGGATGTCACACTACTGTTTAGATGCATTTTGATAAACTCAGTGAGAAATCAAGAGAAAATAAATCAACTTCAAAAATATTATAGTGAGGTTGAAATACGTCCATCACTTTCCAAAGAGGTGTATTTACATTCTTTCTAATTCTTTTTCTTTTTTTTTGAGTTGGAGTCTCACTCTGTTGCCCAGACTGGAGTGCAGTGGCACGCTCCTGGCCACTGCAGCCTGGACCTGCTGGGCTCCGGTGATCCTTCCGCCTTAGCCTTCCGAGTAGCTGGAATTACAGGCACGCACTACCACGCCCGGCTAATTTTTGATTTATTGTAGAGATGAGGTCTCGCCAGGTTGCCCAGGCGGATCTCGAACCTGTGGGCTCAGGTAATCCACTCACCTCAGCCTCCCAAAGTGCGGGATTACAGGCTGAGCCACTGAGCCTGGCTTCAATCTTTCTAGTTCTTTTAGCTCTTTTTGTTTTTACTAAAAGTAAGCCCTTCCATTGCAATATTCAAATCAGGTTCTCTTTGGCTCTTTTTCTGGGATGCCCATGGGATGGTGCTCCCTGCTTTTGGTGATATTTCAAGTTTACTCTGTTGGTACCCAGGCTCAGATACCTGCCTTGCTTCCTCCATGTTGATCATACTGGGCTCTCTGAGGCTCCATCCTGGCCCAGCTGCTGGTTCCTATGCACTTTTGGTCTAACTGAGTTTCAATCATCAAGCCTTGACTTACTGTTCTTCAGGGTCCCTTTCCCATGTCCCTCTTCCCCCATGGACTGAGCACCTCCAAATGACCCCGTAATTACATGTCAACCGTCTGCCTCCCCTGAGAGAACCTCCCAGTCAGAACCAAGTTTTTTTGTTTGTTTTTGAATCAGGATCTCACTCTGTTGCCCAGATTGGAGTGCAGTGGTGTGATCACAGTTCACTATAACATTGATCTTCTGGGCTCAGGCAATCCTTTTGCCTCAGCCTCCTGAGTAGCTGGGATTACAGGCATGCACTACCATGCCTGGTTAATTTTGTGATTTTTTTTTTTGCAGAGACAAGGTCTCACTACGTTGCCTAAGCTGGACTTGAACTCCTGGGCTCTAGCAGTCTTTCCACTTTGGCTTCCCAGAGTGCTGGGGTTACAGGTGTGAGCCGTCGCAACTGGCCTTGGGCTTGGGTTTATTATGTGTTTAGCCCTGAGACAGAGCCTAGTCTACAGGAGGCGCTCAGAAAACAGTGGGACTGGACAGAACCTGAAGTCACATGGTTCTCCACAGTGCTCTTTCCTGTCCCTTCCTCCCAGGACACTGGGTCTTCTCTTCACCTGCTCCTGACCACACCCACCTGCTGTCCTCTGAGGACACGCTTCTGTGGCATGATCTGGTTTGTCTCTTCTCTTTGAGTATTTGAGTATTTCCTGCTGGTCCCTGATTCTCCTGCCAAAGAGTGCTCTTTCCAGATTGGAGGCTGCTCCCTGCCTCCCTCCCTGGGGTGCACTGTTATGGTTTCCTTAATCCAGATCAGCAAAAGCTATTCACTAACACCACACAGTAGATAGTTTCCAAATTATGTTTTCCGGGGCTCCTTTATCTCCCAAAGCCACAACTTGAGACTCAAAAGAAGAAACCACCACCCTGGACTCTTTCATTATCTTGTTGGGCCTTCAGATTCATGGAAGACACATTCCAAATTCCTTCTGTCAATACCCCGGGCCTCACAGAGCAGGTAGGGTGTACACTCTAGCAGGTGGACCTCGATACTTTCCATGTCAGTGTCTTTTGGGATAGGTAACTGAAAAGCACCCAACAAGTATTCTCACCTCTTACCTGCTAACAGAACCCACTATATTGAGGCAGCAAATGGGGGACCTCTGACCTCAAAGAGGGCAGGTCCCACCCCCAGGCTCAGAGGATGAATAATGATGGGCCTAAAGTTGCAATTTAATCCCCCTGATCATTTAGTGGCCAAGGCCAACTTAGTTGTGACCAAAAGGATGTAAGGTGGAATGGTGCTGAAGAAACAACAGTGCCCCTCTTCCTCCTACCTGTCTTCAAGACAGGAAGTGGCTGGACCCACAGCAGCCATCTAGGGGCCATTAAGCAAAGGTCATGAGAAACATAGAGCCATGGCATCATATACATCTGGGGTGCTTGATATGTAAGAAAAATAAACCACTATTTCTTTAGTGGGAGTTGGCTTTTCTACTACCTGCTACTCAGAACATCCCTACTTGACTGTTGACCGTCATTTCTTGGCTGGACATGACCTTGCAGAGTGCTGCTTCAGGAATGATGAAGGACTCTAAACTGTATGACAAGGATACCTTGTCCTTGTACACTTGCACTTGACAAAGCTCACCTCCTCCTAGAGAGCACCCTAGTTTCAGAATAATAAATACAACTGAAATTCGTTTCCCTTTGAGGGGTGAATTGGTTATCTGCCTTGAAACTGCTGGGCTATGCTGAGACGTCCCACGGTGGAACCCTCTGGTGAAGGTGTTGTTGAAATGTCACTGTGCTTTAATTGCACAGGACAAAGACTCTGACTTTATTTACTTATTTATTTTTTGCGTTGGGGGAGTCTCACTTTACTGCTCAGGCTGGAGTGTAGTGGCACGATCATGGATCACCACGGCCTCGACCTCTTGGACTCAGGAGATCCTTCTACCTCAGTCTTCTGAGTAGCTGAGACTACAGGTATGTGCCACCATGCCTGGCTAGCTTTTACAAATTTTTTGTAGAGATGAGGTCTCACTATGTGGCCTAGGCTGGCCTCAAACCTGGGCACAAGCAGTCCTCCCATCTTGGCCTCCCAAAGTGCTGAGATTACAGGTGTGAACCACTGCACATGGTTAGAAGACTGATTTTAAAGAGATACAGCAATTCTTTTCTTTTGAGTTGGAATCTCACTCTGTCACTCAGGATGGGAGTCTTCGACCAAGACTAGTAACACAAACGGCCACTGCAGCCTTGACATGCTGGACTCAGGTGATCCTTCCACCTCAGCCTTCTAAGTAGCTGGAACTATAGGCACATGCCACCACACCCAGCTAATTTTTTATATTTATTTACTGTAGAGACAAAGTCTTGCCAAGTTGCCCTGGCTTGTCTTGAACCCCTGAGCTCAGGCAATCCTCTTACCTCTACCTCCCAAAATGCTGGGATTATGGGATGAGCCACTGAGCCTGTCTTCATCAATTCTTACATGCACCCTCTTGGCATAATAAATGCTTGTGAAGCATTTTTCATGTATTAAATGAGAAGTTGAAATTCCGGGAATTCCCACAGTAGTGTATGTCTTATGATGTCAGGAACCCCCAGCCAGAACGAGACACACCTGGGGATTTGCAACTCACTGACCCCAGCCCTCCTGGCGCCTGCTCATAACTGGGTGTGTGGGAGCCTTGGTGCTCAGACCGGGGGCTCTGGTGACCTGTTATCTTCCAGAATCTCCACCCCTCAGCTGCAGGCTCAGGCATCTACCTAGGATGGAGTCACCTAACGTCACAGGAAAAGGCTTTGGGGATGAAGACGAACCAGACTCTTTCTTCCTTGCTCTAAACCATCTGAAGGATCCTCAAAGCTGTCTTTCAGATCAGGAGTGATGCTGGCACACGGGGAAGCCTGCCCCTTCTTCCTGCCACATCCTCTGCAGCAAGCCATGGAGGTAGCAGGAAAGACATGCTCTCCAAGACAGGCAGCAGATCACCCTAGCAGCCTGTCATCGTGTCCCTCTGCACAACAGCAGCAGAATGACTTCTGAGGCCAACTGTAGTCACAACTCACTTGTCTTTTGGGGAGTCATCGGCCAAGACTAGTAACGCTGAGCTATGCTGAAGTACCCACGGTTTGCTGAGGCAGAGCAGTGGTTGTGTGAACCACACCATCAGCTTCCAGAAGGTTCCACACCCAAGGACATGGAGGAGAAAGAGCCTCCATAGAGTGGCTCTTTCTCACTCTGACCTGGGATACTCTGGGACCCTCGAGTTCTTTCAGCCTGTTTGTTGACAAGTATTCCTCAGGAAAGACCTCCTTATTTCTTATGCATCAATAAGATGATGCATCTTAAAGGACAGTCTCCTAGCTGTCTCTTCTCTGCTCTCTTGGACACAGGAGAGTTGGCTAAAGGAGTTTATTACCTAGGCATGGCATATTGAACTTATCATCAACATTATGGGTTCCCTACTGCCCCCCAATTCTGAACACCAAAGCAAAGTCTTTAAGCAGTCATTTTGGGGAAAGCAAAGCCTGGTGGACTCTCTACTGCTTTTTCTAGCGAATTCCTAGCTTTAAGTAATGCCAGGGACGTTTTCTACCTACAAGAACATACCTATTCCTCAGTGTTATTTCACACTACTTCTTTTTATTTTATTTTGATCATGTGAGGGTACAATTCAGGATTAGGTACACAAGTGGACATCATACAGGTAAAGTTTGGTCTTCACTTTGCCTGGTTTGAGATTTTTCACACTACTTCTACAGATCAAATACTTGAAGACAGTATAACAAGAATGCACAGCACACTCAGTTTCTTTTTCCATTTCAAACATATTTCACTTGCCCAGAGCTCTTCTCAAATATGGAGATTTGGACAGTTGGCCCAAAGGCAAATGTCTTCCTATATATTTAATTTGGGCAACATTTCCTGTCTATTAAAAAACAATCACCAATTTTCAGAGCTCTCAGATCTTTTTAAATATCATGCAGAACTTTAACGGGTTAAAGGTCACTGAAGTGTCTTGATCCTGATTCCTGATTCACATACACGGGATTGGGAACATCAGCTCATTCGAATCTTTACCACAGCATGGCAAATGGCCGACTGAGAAAGTCACAGCTGATTCACGATGTCTAGATATAGGATGATAAAAACATCTAGATATCAGAATCCCAAATGGAATTCTGCCATCCCAGCCTGAGAGGCAAGGTCTCTGCTCTGTGGAAGCTGATTTAATTTCTCCCTTGACGTAGGCAGAGAGTCCCCAAGAAATTCTGCGTGTTTCAGGCTGCCATGGTATTTCCCCTTTCCCCCCCCTAGATCCTAACTCTGGTATTTAATATATTGGGTTATACAACATAATAAGGTGAAAAATAGAGGGAGAATAAGAGGTACTTACCAAGAAACCTTTTCATCATAAATGAACTGTGAGGAAATAAAAAAGGATAGAAGATTAGACACATACACACACCATGCTTAGAGACTGCATACTTTCCACTCTTGTTCCTGGGAAAATCAGAACTGGGCTGTGTCAACACCCTTCTGTACTGGCTTTGTCTTCAGCCAGTGTTAGCAGAAGGAGGTACTGGCAAGTTGGGGTGGGTATTTGTGGAGGGAAGTCCAGGCAGTCCCATCTTCTCTACAACTGTCTGACAGCAGAGTGACAGGGAGGTGTGACTGATCCTGCTTTGTCAAGCAAGACACATGGCAGAATTCTCGATCAGCAAGGATGCAAGTAGCTCGGGGGCTTCCCCACATCTGTCCCTTTGTGCCTCCTGCAAGGTTTCTGCACATCTGCAAACCTTCACAGACACTTTATGCAAGCACTTGGACTTCTTCGAAAGGTTTCTCTTAACTGGCTTACTTCTTTGTTTCCTTAAAGGAATTTATTTTCAAAGGAAACCTGGCATCACAAGCAGAAGTGGGGGCTTGGCACCCCAACATCACATATAGAGGGTAACCCTGAAAAAATGCAATGACAACACACAGTATTTGCAGTTCCCAGTTGGATACTATCGGCTGCCCACATCCTGGGCACAGGACTATCCTGTCGTTAAGGAAGGAGACAGAAGCCACAAAAGACATACAGCGCCAAACTGAGGTATGCTCCTCGTCAGTTAGGACCCAAAGAGAGTCCAGGGAGAACACACCACAGGATTTCATTTACTAAGCCCCAGTCCATGCACCATCTAAAATAATTTCCCACTTTGTGTGTGGGGGCGAAAAACAACCCAGTGTAATCCTTTGAATTACACCGGGAAACTGAGTCAGAGAACATGTTATTTTCCTGTAGAATTGGTTCTAGATCTCAGCCCCAGTCCTTAATTTGGTTCTTTTCCTGACACACTGATCTGTCCGGATGACAGGTTGCCGAATCCAAGTGAGCGCACCCACATTTTATTTAGACGGGAAGCCAAGGACATGACTGGCAGCTCTGTCTTTCCACTCCTACAAAACTCGACTGCTTTGAGGATGATCATCTCAGAGTGGCTTTTCTTTCAGAGGGAGCAGCCGTCTGGAGACTGAGGTGGCCGCTTGCAGAACAATCAGGTGTCAAGTGTTGTCTGGGCATGGAAATGGTAAACTCCGCTAATGAGGTGGGCATTGCATTGGGCCCCAGAGGTCACAATCACCATCAGTTGGGTAGAGATGCAGAAAGCACCTCAAAGACGAGTTCACAAGGCACATGAAAGGAATGCTCCAATTATCTTGAAGGTCTGAAGAGAAGGAGGAGGAGGAAGAAGCAACGTTTATTTGTAACTGGTTCTTCCTAACAAGCCCTTGAAGCAGGACATGGGCTTTACCATTTTTGTTACTCTTATCTTTGCTATTGGATTCAACGAGTTGACATTTGGATAAAAATGTCAAGCTAGAATGGGAAGAGAATTCAAAAAATAAAGGTAACAGTCTCATAACCCAGGCTGAGTGGCATGGAATTCATTCGTTAGAAAGCGTTCACAGCTGTTTTGTATAACCGCTAGCCTCTTTTAAAAAAAAAAAAAGCTGTCAAAAAAAATCATGGAACAGAGCAAATTATTTAAGATAGAAAACATTTTCTATTAATTGAACTTAATTCAATATCAGTCTTAGCAGCAGGCTGGAACAATCAATTTGTAGCCACTTAAGAGAACACAAGATATTGGGAAAGAGTTTATTAGACCAGGCCGATTTAATTTTCTTTTATCAGTCAAGGCAGGTAATACCATATTATATAAAAGTAGCTTTTAGGAAGCTCTTATTCCCTGCAATCTTCCTCACAGGTGCAAGCACAGATTCTGCAAAGTCTACACCAGGAGTTCACTTGCCCTGGGACAAAGGGGACCTTTGTACACTTTCTAGGAATCAGCCCTGGGGACCAGCACAGTGGAAGCTATTGATTATTCCAATGATCATCTCAAAGAAAAAAATGAGAGCAGGTTTAACTGTACAAAGGATCCTGGGTAAGAGCACAATAAATCAGAGAAATAGTGGGTAGATCTGGACGAGATTGGACAAGATGCACAGGCAGGGTTAGAGCATCATGACCTGGAAGTCAAGAGGATGGTGTGGCCACAGACGTTGGGGGTGGGGATATGGTTCAGAGCGGCAGACAGGAAAAGAGAATTGCAGGTGATCTCACTTTAAGTACCAATAAGTGGCAGAGATCTGGAAACATTCAGATAACAGAACAGTCTTCCCTTCCATCTCTCTTGCCTGGCATGAAGATGCCGCATCTCTTAGAATGCATGACTGCAGATGAGGAGGAGGGGGAGGAAGTAGAGGAGAAGGTCGGGGGGGAGAGGTGTCTATGAAGCCAGGAGGCCTTGGTTAGCCTGTGACTGATAGCATACATCATCGCGTTTATACCTCTCATTTAAGATGACCGTGTTGAGGACTGAGAGGGACTCAGAAAAGAACAATGAGATGGATGAAAGGGACTCAAAATCAGGCCTCCAAGAAACACCTGAACCTCCTGGGAAGACAGAACAGGAGGAAACTGGCACCATCTGCAGAATGTTCCCTTGGAGAGCGCATCGTGGACCTTCCTCATGGAGCATTAGAGTCACCCTGCCCAAAAATTCTTAAAATGACAAGGACGGGGTCACTCTCACTTGAGGCTGCTGAAGGTAGAGACAATGGATTTGTGAATCCTTACAGGTTTTATTTATTTGATCCTCTTAAGACAAGTGTGGCACATCCCTCTGTATTTTTATGCACTAGATGTGAATCAAAGAAAACCAAACAACATCTCCCAACCCTTCTAGAAACTTTATTAGTGTAGAAGAAAACTTGAAATCATATCTTATCTCAAACAGGACACCGCATTCCCATTTCCTGCATCGACCACGAGGTGGCGCTCATGTTCCAGTTCTTCATCCAGGTCTAATGGGCCAAGGCAGGAAGTTGAGATGAAGTCAGTCCAAGTCCATTTTTTCAGCTCCATTAAATCTCCTGGAAGGAGGGAAGCTCCTCAGGGCAGGCAGCCTGCTGAAGGAGCCTTCGGCCAAGTCACTGGCGGGTGTCTGCCTTGGAGACAGGTCATCTGATGTCCACACCCAATTGTCATGATGAGTTGCAACTGAGTGACTTCCTGTTGTGGCTCTCGGAATGTACCCAGCGTCTTCTCAATCAGATGTCTGAGAGTAGGGTTTGGGTAAGCAGAGCATTGCTCTGTGCTCTGTTGGCTGCATTTGGGGCCAGAGAGCCTCATGGGTGGTCCTGATTGACAGCGGGACCCCTGATCTGCTGAGCAGAAGCTGGTGAGGGGACCCTGCCCTCTGACCCCCAGGTGCTTATCCAGACCCCCAGGTGCTTATCCAAACCTTGGGGTCTTCGCCCCAAGGTTTCCACATGTTCTGCTGCTAAGCTGAATGTTAAACAAGAATGAACCTCAGAAAAGCACTCATGTCCTCCAGGCTTCAGAGAAATGGTTGGGTACCATGGAAACCAGCTTTTCATTCCCAGTGTCTGCTCCAGAATTCTCCTGACCAAGACAAGCTTACAACAGGCAGGCGTGTCTCTGGATATCAGAGCTACCCAGGGAACGGCCAAGAGACTGCCAGGTTCAACATGGAAGAGCAGGGAAGCCAGCCAGGAATGGCCCAGCTACAGCTGGGCTGGCCCTCCTCTCCAAGCTGGGAGGCAGGTGACTGTCTCAGCATCGCCATGTTATCCCCTGGGTATGCTTAGTGCAACTGCCACCACGAAGCAGGGGTGACTGTGTTGCTGAAGTGAAGTCTTCATGGCCTGTATTATCATCACTGGCACCACTAGAATTTTAAACAGTGAACATAATAGGAGAAAATCAACACTATCGTGTTCTTTCAAGAGGCTGAAACCTTGAAATTCTTCCCTTCCTTGCTGGCAGGAAAGCGGCCCCCCCGTAGACTCCTCCCACTCAACATGGTGGGCTCCCTAGACAGGTCTGCATTTGCGGTGCCCACCTCTTCAGCTCCGGGGTGGGAATGCAGCTGGTTTAGCCAAGGCCACGGTAATTTCATCTGGAGAGAGGAAGCCGATGGAATATCTTGGAAACTTGGCTGTTAGGCACTGACAGGGGTTCCATTTTAAAGTCAAACAGGAATCCGTACTTCAGGACCTTGAGTGGGATGACTTGTGAAGGTGGCAGTTGCAGAAGAGCAGGAAAAAGATGAGTTTTAGCAAAGCTGGTCATGTCATATGTGCATGTGAGAGCAGGGAAGGGAAAAGCAGTAACAGGATGAATTTAGGGTGCAGGAGATGAGGGCTGTTCAGCTAAAGGACTGTGTTTGCTGGGCAGTGCAAAACCAAACACAACTAAAATCTCTGAGCTGTCTTCTTTGGGAAAGGCGAAAGACCCCATGGGAATTGCAGTCTCCAGTCCAGCCACCCTGCTGCTCTGTTCAGGGAGCAAACACAGGCAGGACCCCACTTCCTGGTCTATTCAACATCCTTAAAGCAGGCTCCTCCTCCTGTCTGTAGCAGGGATTGCAAAGCAGGTGGCCTCTGTGTGACCAAGGCTGATTTGTTTAAGGACCTCTACATTCCATCACAGTCATTCCCTGGGGGAATTTCCCAGTGACCACAGTGCCAGAAGGAGAGCTGGAATGTCATGGGGTACAAGGCACCCAAGAGCCTCCAAGTTTCTAGACTGGGGAGAGAAGAGGTTAATTTCCCTGAAGAATGGGTCCAGGAGGGAGGAGATGGTCAGAGGGGCAAGGCCTTGGAGGCCAGCTGGGAGGCGGAGGATGGTCATCCACACCACCTCTGAGCTTTCTTTTCTCCCACAGAAAGGACAAGATAAAAAGATTCCTGGAGTATTTCAGATGAGTTGTTTTTTGGAGAGAGTTCTAGCTGGGGAGGCAGAAGTACCTCCCTTCTACCTAAAAACAGACAGCAAAATGAGTGAAGCAGACACACCTCTCTAATGAGGACATCAGGCAATAGGGATAGGGACAATTTTAAGG